TCCTTCCTTCCTTCCTTCCTTCCTTTCTTTCTTTCTTTCTTTCTTTCTTTCTTTCTTTCTTTCTTTCTTTCTTTCTTTCTGTGGTAGCAGGGTAATGGGGCTTGAACCTAGGGTCTTGTGCAGGAAGCAATCAATCGCTCTATAACTGAGTTATAGCCCCAGTTTTCCTTTTCCTTAGTATTTTGAAATAGGGTCTCTCTAAATTGCCTAGGCTGGCCTTGAACCTGTAATCCTGCTGCCTCTATCTCCTTGGGTAGCTGGGATTGCAGGCTGAGCCACTGTGGCTGGCTGTTCCCAGTCTATTTACTGGATACTTTCTTTGATGAAAATACTAGAGTGATGATGATAAACTGAGAGTCTGGTAGCCAAAGAACTGAGATGTTTCCCCACTTTTAAATCTAGAGGATACAGGAAGAAAAACAGCAGCATGAATGCAGTTTGTGTTTTCATTCTTAATTGCTCATGAAATGACTTGGAAATAACAGTTTCTGCCTGGCTCTTGCCTAACAAACCAAATGGTCTCCTTGGAGACGGCCCAAGGGCCTCATCTGGAAGTCTCAGAGGAAGAGGAGCATCTTGAGTACAAAATAAGATCTTGGTCGTTGACAAACCACTGTCCCTGCTTTACAGTGCTTGACCTTTCTTTCATTCATGCTATCTGCCCAATCTCACAGAGTTTAATAGAATATTTTCATCCTGCAGAAATTATAAGGGTATGAATAATCTTTCTTTATGATTACATATTTGAGGAGCAGCCATAGAGGCATTCCTCCTGGACTGTCAGCCTGGTGAGTGTGTGATTTAGTCATTTAAAATAAAAAGGAGGCCGGGCAATGGCAGTGCATGCTTTAACCCCAGAACTCCGGCAGGAAAGGATCTCTGAGTTTGAGGCCAGCCTGGTCTAAGCCTCTACAAAATTAATTCCAGGACAGCTATGGCTGCACAGAGAAACAATGTCTCCAAAAACCAAACTCCCTCCCTCCCTCCCTCCCTCCCTCCCTCCCTCC